TTATGCCTATTTATATGAAAAACTTTGGGGCACAAATAATTGTTATGGTTGTGATTTTCAGTTGTTTTTAAATTGAAGATTTTGTTTTAATACAGACTATTTTTAAAACCCAATATTACGACGTATATAAAAATTAAGAGAATGGAATGGTTTGGACATGTATGGAGAGCTGATAGTAACATAATAAAAAAAGTACTAACGGAGACCAWACAAAAAAAAGACCAATAGGCAGACCACGAACGAGGTGGAAAGRTGCAATAGAGAAAGATATCAAGATGCTGGGAAGAAATATGACAAGTAACCTGGCTTTGGACAGGGAAAGATGGAGAGAATTACTTGTGGCAGCTCAGGTCCTATAGGGACTGTTAAGCTAAGGATGATGATGATGATGATTTTGTTTTAAGTAAAATATCTAATATACGCTTTTATTATTTATCAAAAAACACTATATAACAATTATATAGAATGGTTTCTTATWATTATGTTTAATGCATAAGTGACCATAGGTGTGCACACAGCACATGAACTACAGACAGCAACTATTGAATGATGGGCYATAAAATTATATTTACCAAATTATATACAATGTTCATTTTAATTTATGATTAAATTGTAATACATTATTAAAAAATATTTAGAACGTTTAGCCATCCCCTTGTCAAAATATTGGATTTTTATGGGGGTTCTCTCATAAATAATTAACAAATCAACCCACTTCAAACCAAATTAAAAAAAAATCTATTTTTATTTTTTTTACACCACAAATTTGTGTGACCTATTTTCAAAGGTATACCAAATTTCTATTGTTACAACATAATATTGGGAAAAGAACTCGATTAATCTCATGGTGCCCCTGAAGCCAGAGCCTTCRCGCTTATTTATGTGAATAAACAATTATTTAAAATAGTATACACACACACACACATGCGCGCGCGCACATACACATACATTTCTCCATTCAATATWAACTTATTGACATAAATAGATTAAAAGGAAAATGTTTGTTTTTCAATCAGATAGCTGCAGAAATTAACTTTATCATGACAGTGCTTTCCGATTAAAAGTTTATGTGTATAAATATATTAGTAAACATCAATATTTTGTTAAAATAAATTTTACCCAGTTGCTGGAGTTTGAGGCAGTGATCCTTTTGCACTAGAATCAGGAGTTGACATTGAACTGTACAATAATTCACTTTTATTAGGCGAAGTGGTTAAACTTGACAGCACATCTAAATCAATTAAAATATTTATAACTTTGAAGTAAATAGTTAAGTATATTAAACAGCATATACCTGAAACTGGTGCAACTCCAAGAGATGATAACATTTCATCAATTTCTTTACCTTGATCTTTCTCAACACCAATACCACGAGAAACTGCTTCATCTCCCTGTTTAATATATTGATTAATGGCAATAAAAATAATAATTTGGCAGTTTGAAATATTAAAATATTAATTTAGTGACAGGATAACTATCATAAAAAATATWGCAATAAAATTGTACTTATTATTATTATAAAGTTAAAAAATATTTTTTTATATGGCAACAGCAAAATATACAGAATCATTTTGACATTAAAAATACAACATGTACGGATGTAAATAAAAATGGTAATATGTAATAAATCAAATGAAACATCAATGCAATGTTGAAATAAGTAGTTTARAAGGTAAAATAATGCTCTGAAGTATTATTATTGTTTTTTAAATATARGTACAATTTTTGACAATATTATGCATTATTTGATGTAAAATATTTTACATACATCTTTTTTTTCTTTTTCTTTGCGAAGTCTTTCTTTTTGCTCTCTGATGGCTTGTAGTTTAGCCTTCTTTTTCTCTAATTCTGCTTTGCGGTCTGACATGTTGTAACTGCAAAAACAAATGATGGTATAATGTATCTTAATCATGATAAACAATATATTTWGAGGGCGTCATATTTTGAATAACTGCTTGTACAACGTATTTCCTTACCTTTAGGTAGACTGGTAGGCAGTAAAATTATAAGCTATAACTCATTTGGCAATATAATAATAATATAAAAGTAAGTTATAGCAAAATAAACTAAGCAATTGATATTATGTCAGTAAGTTATTTAAAGCGTTAATTAAAACATACGTAAAACATTAACAAAAAACCTAAATTATGAGAATGTAGACGTTTCAATTCATTTCTCATATCCTACAGTCAACGACATATTATTATTATGTTAACAAATTGAGTAAATCCAAAATCATAAATTACAATATTTTCACAATTTATTTTGTTATCACTCAATATATTAACCAATCAAAATTAATAAACAAAAATACTATCATAAAGAATTCCTATTGGTTTCTTCATTTTATGATAAAATACATTAATAATAATGCCTCTATTTTTTGAAATTAAAGGTATATAAATCATGAAAATATATAATAGGAAAACAAAATGGAATTTTGGTCGTATGTGGCTGCCGAGCATTTGTCATTTACTACGCATGTTTGTATACGTCATATTATATGGTCTGCCATGCATCTTTATATCATATAGGTAGGTATTTTTTATGGTCATTCTCAACAATTTGACGGAGTTAAACTTTATCTTAACGATGTAACTTCTATAATATAACATAACTCTAGCAATCTTGAATGTAATCGTAAAAGTATGAGATAATAAGTTACAATTTAGTTCGTACTRTAATGCATGATAAATTAATACATTATTCTGCAGTTAGAACGCTTTGAGTATTATGTTAGCTATTTATTCTATGCAGTTGCTCAATCGGAGGAAAATGCACAGCCTTATTTAAAAAAATAGTTTACTTATTGAAATCGACAATCATCATTCTTGCCAACCAAATTGTTTAAGTACTCATAAAAAACGAGGAAAAGATCAAACCGTCATACGCCACTCATACGATAAGAAAGGTTAACAAAGAATTCAATTCGTCCGTAAAGGTAATAACGTACGTTTTTCACGCACAATAATAAAAATAGTCAATATGATTATCGTTGTCACAAATTTTAGAATTAGTTTATTATTGCATGGTGTCTTCAAATTCCAAATAACGCCATGATAAAATTAACGGTACTTGGAAGTCACTCAGTCGATGACTGGATGAATTTAAATCGTGAAATACTAGTTGCTGGTTTTGAAAAAGAATTAAAATGGAGGGGATATAAATACTATTGTTCAAGTTGATKAATCTTTAATGGTAAAAAAAAGTATACAGCAGAGTATAACTATTAGGAGCTGATATTTTATTGCTACTGAAAATGTGAGTATAAACAACAATGGTTCTGAGGCTAATATTCACACTAGAGGAAGAGGCAAAGGGGCTAACCCTCCAAAGATAMGCCCATAGGCGGATAGGCCTACCGGACAACCGGGCATTTCCTGTTGGGCCCCCTACGTATTTCGGTAATGGGGCCCTTTAATATCATATATTATTACATTTTTTTTCATGTGAAGGCCCCTTTTTAAAATTTTCCATTAGGCCAAAAATGGCCTATCCGCCCATGGATACGTCAATATTCCACGTTTCATGTTACGGCTGTAACGCTGTCGCGGTACATAAAAGTATAAAACCTATAATACAGTGATATCTAAAAATGAGTAAAAACGTGCAGTTAAACTCAGTACGTTTACTCTTTAACGTGTTGTAGGTATAAACTCGATTTAATCAACTGCCGCTGTCGAWACCTATTTTGTTTTACCGACTGGCACTGAGATCAATATCTAATATTTAATAATATATTATCTATCTCAGTGCCAACTGGTATTAAAATAGTTTATCGGGTTTAT